AGGACCCCTTACTGGTACCAAACCCCAAACCGTAAACCCTTAAACCCTAAAGCCTAGACCCTAAACCTTTCATGGACCCCTTAATGGAGCCGCGAAAGAACTCTTAAAGAAAGGAGCCCGTGTTCCTCCGCGGGCAGACCACGAAAGCCGGCGTGCGTCTTTCGCCGATCCAGGATCGCCCTTGAAGGGCGGTTTAGGGGTGCTTTTTAAGGGGTCCGTTAAGAGGATTCTTTAAGTGTTTAGGGTTTGTAGTTAGTGGTTATCTTAGGAGTACTTAGAAATAGTTTGTAATTTTTTCTTACTAAAGTTCCTAAGAAGCAGCTAACATTAAAGTTTTTTGCTAGGGTTCTAAGTTCAGTATAGTTATGGGTTAAAGGCTTACAGGTTTAGGGTGCAGGGATTTGTCGTCTCTGGGTTTAGGATTTGAAGGTGTTATGGGTTGAAGGGTGGTAGGGTGTGGTGTGTAGGGTTTTGGGGCCTAGAAATAAGTAGCTACAAGTGGATACACTTCAAAAAAGCTGTTAGGGCATGGGATATCAGACAAATTTATTGGATTTGAGGGTCGGGGTTTGGGATCTGGCATATTTCACATGGGAATCGGGATTTTTCGGCTGGGGCGTTTGGGGTTGGGGTTTGGGATTTGAAGTGTCCAATATTCCTTACCTGACCACCCGGACCTAAGCACCCCTCAGGGCCTGAGGGTCATAAGACACCCACAACTTGGATACTGGCCCCACTCAGTAACAATTGGATAATATTAATATTAATATTCATAATATAGTTATATTAAGCCCGCAATAGTAGCCCTATTATAGACTGTTACTGTATGGGGGCAGTATCCAACCCACAACCACAAAGGCGGGACCAAAGCAGATATGAATCCGATCCTTTGCAGACATTTGTGGCTAAGCCCACAACCCCGAAATCGGAAATCCTACCACAAAGGCCACAGACAACAATGAACGCTTGTCAAACCGGCACTAGTTACATGATCATGGGACTTAGTTAGTAACTCGGGCTATTATCCGGGAAACTATACTTAAAGTCACATTTAATGCCGATTCAGGTACTGACAGCCTTACTTACTAAGTCACATGATCCTCCAAGGGCTGTCTGTCACCGAAATAGTGAGATTGCGATATTGCTCTAATACGCCATCTTCTAATTGGTACGGACCCTGAACCCTAACTCGCAAACCCTAAACCCTAAACCCCAATACCCCATTCTAATTGGTACGGACGGTCTTTTGACCCCCGCCCTTGACCCTCATCCGGGAAACTGAGTGCGCAAGCTGTAACGCCTTCAGCCATACTTGGAGGGGCGGGGGACTTAGTAAGTAGGTTATAAGTACGGTCGAACCTTTCAATAAGAAATGGGCATGGGTTGGGCCAGACCCCGAGTATTTCTGATTCGGGGATTTCTGTAACAAGCTGTTTGCGGTTGGCACGCAGCCCAAAGTTCAACGGCGCGTCGTTTTGGGTCCAAACGCGCCGTTCTCCTCCAAAAACACGCGCCGTTGAACTTTGGCTGTGGGGGCAGGCTTGGGGGGGGGCGTGCAGGGCCCAGAGTTCAACGGCGCGTCGTTTTGGCCCCCAAACGTGCCGTTCTCCTTTTGTTGAACTTTGGCTGTGGGGACAGGCTTTGGGGGGCCAGAGTTCAACGGCGCGTCGTTTTGGCCCCAAGCGCGCCGTTCTCCTCCAAAAACACGCGCCGTTGAATGGCTCAAACCACAGGCTTTGGGGGGCACCCGGCAGGGTTGCATGGGAGGGCTGCGGAGGGGAGGGTTTTGTTTGGGGGGGAGGTGGAAGGGTGAAACACCAAATGTTACACCCCTCTGTTTCACGTATTATTTGTATGTATCCATGCCTGTTGCGCAAGGTTTTAGGACCGTGGATAAGAAATCACAAAAAATTCAGGGTCTCATTTCTTGCTCCCAACGATTTCTTCATGAATGCGCTTTCCGTAGACTTATAAGTACCCTAAATGGAGTTACCGTTACCCCCCCCCAGTTATAACCCACTTGTAAACGACTTACTAAGTCCCCTGCCCCTCCGACCCGAATGCAAGACGGCTGATAATATGAATCCTGTTTAACATGTAGGCTTCGGAACTTAATGTAGGAACCTGATTACGAAACCCTGGACCTATGACACCAAAATACGAAGATTCATACAAGGAGCCCCAATAATAAAGGCCCAAGCTTTCTTAGCCAGGTCCCGACATTACACATGTGGGCTTTGGGGTATCAGAGACTCCATGACTTGACCGCAGCGCGGGTCATGCTCTGCTTGGATGAAGGGGTGTCGGTAACACGAAGTAACAGAGGGGCCTACTGTTTGGGGTTCCTTTGTGGGTCTGTACTGCAAGTATACAGTAACCTGTTTTGACTGACCATGCCCCTATATTCGATAAAGTTTGAGACATGAGCTTGTGAGTGTCAAAATCGAAATAAGGGATGGCACGCGAAAAACTCTCGTCCGCAGTTAACATACCCCAACCCCGTATGGGGGTTTCCGAAAATAGGGGACCCTAATATAGTACCCTAAATAGTAGGATCCTTATTATAAGGACCCCAAAATAAGGTACCCCCATTTTCCGGAAACTCCCATATCCCTCGACCCAAGGGACTTTACATCTGTCCGAAAAAAGCTCGGAGTCCCGCGACAAGCCAAACCCTAAACCCTCGAACCCAATAAGGGTTTAGGGTATAGGGTTTAGGGTTTAGGGTCAGCAGCCTAAATAACGGCCAACGTTGTCTGTCAGGGTTCGTGTATGTGATATTAGAACATGTATCCCAAGATTGTAATGCTTAAGACCCCTCCGTTACTATGCTAAACCCTTTTGGTTGCCTTTCCATTAACTCTGGGTTTACTTTCTTAGATCCCTTTAAGAAGAGCCCGTAAGGGACCCTAGTCAGTTAGTCAGCACCCCCCCCCCCCCCCCACCATAGTACTAGATCTATACCCCAACCCCTAACCCTAAACCCGGGAACCCTAAATTCTATTCTAATTCCTGAAGTGCCCCCGCCTAGTACCAGACTAAACCCTAAACCCCTGAACCCTAACCCCCCCCCCCCCCATAGTACCAGACCCCGAATTACAGGTGGTCAAAGAGCCAGATGGAAGTCTGGCCCGTGCAGCGTCGACGAGCCTGAGCTGAACTGGCTGCAGCCAGACCTTCCAAATTTTTTAATTAAGCAATATACGTGAGATTGTGGTAGGACCCTTAATATGTTTATGGCAGGACCCCAAATATGAGTTGAGGTATATTCCTCAATTAAGGTACTTTGGAAGGTTTGGGTAGCTGGGTGTTTCTGATACTAGCGATTAGGGCTTTGGGTTGAGGGTTTTAGGGTTTAGGGCTCAGAGCGTTGAGGTGTAGGATGGCATTATTATTCCTTGAAGACCGCTACCTCTGTTAGAAGTGATGATGGATGGTGATTGCGTTCTTATACATGGCACTATGCGCCATGAGTCAGGGTCCCTCAACCTGAACCCACACAACTAAACCTTAAACCCTGAACCCAGACAATGGCGTAAACGCTAAACCGACGCACATAGACTTTCAGTCCTGAATCTTACCCTAAACCCTAAACCCTAAACCCTAAACCCTAAACCCTATACCCTAAACCCTAAACCCTAAACCCACCCAGCTCCGCGTTTTAGGAGTCCAGATCTTCAGCCCAGAGCCGAAAATGCCGAAAACACGACGTAAGCTAGAGGGTTTAGGGTTTGAGGGTTCAGGGTTCAGGGTTCAAGGTCTTAGGGTCTATGGGTTTAGGGTTTATTTTGTTGTTTCAGGGTTCAGGGTTCAAGGTCTTAGGGTCTATGGGTTTAGGGTTTATTTTGTTGATTCAGGGTTCTTAGGGAAACGACTAATGGACAGGCCCTATAAATTACCTATACTATTCTGGGGGTTCCTTATTATAGTCATTGTCTGATACCCTATTCTAGTTACATATTAAGGCCCCTACATCCTAGAATCCTACTATAGACCCCTTATAGACCCCTTCAAGGGAACCCTACACCTTAAGGTTTAGGGAAACGACTACGCTTTAAGTACCCAAACCCTAAAGCCTGAACCCTAAACCCTAAACCGGTGCAAGCCTGTCACAAGGCAGGGTCGAGAGTGCAGGAGAACGGGCCCATTGCATTTTAAAACACCCTTTAAGGCTTCCCTTACGGATAACACCTTTTCTTATTGGCTGTATACTCAACTTTTCAACTTTTGCGGCTCTTATAAGGTAGTCGATTCTGAAGGTTTCAACTTTTATTTCCTTGGGTTTTGGGCCAGTGAGTTTTAAGCAAGGGGCCCCCTGTAATAGTGACTATAAGGATTATATTAGGGCCCTATTATACCACTATTACAGGGTGGGGGCCCTTCTAGCTTTTAAGTACACCCTAAACCCTAAACCCTAAACCCTAAACCTGAACCCTAAGCCCTTTAAGGGCTCCCTCACGGAACCCCCTTGTAACGGTTGATGATATAAATCCTGCATTACCCATAATAAGGCTAGGACCTGGAGTAGGCCCTTATTCCTTTTTTTGAGGGTTCAGGTTCCCTTATAAGCCCCTTTAAACCAAAAAGGGCACCCCTTTTATTCCTAGGTTACTCTTGGGTCTAGAAGGAATATACCATAATTCCCATAGTTTAGGGCCCTTAAGGTCATGCAGGATTTTTATCATCAACAGTAGGATGCCGAGTAACCTAGGAATAAAAAGGGCTCCCTTCTTGGTATTTGGCAACATTACAGGGAACCTAGGACTACTTGAAGGATCCTGGGACTTAGTAAGTAGGTTATAACTGGGGTTATAAGACCCCTAAGTGGGGTTATCCTAATTATAACCTACTTATACCCTTACTTACTAAGTCCCATGAGCCTTTAAGTACGAGGAACCCTAAACCCTAAACCTACGAACCCCCCTTTTTAAGTACGGGAGAAACTTTCGCATCCCAGGGCCCAGGCTCTGGCCACAGAGCGGCGCGAAGCGCGGGAAGCGATGCAGTCTCGGACCCAGCTCCTGGGCTTCGGGGATGCAGGGTTCAGGGGTTCAGGGTTCAGGGTTTAGGGTTTAGGGTTTAGGGTTTAGGGAGTAGAAGCCAGAAAGTTGGAATATTATTATCGTAACCCCTTTAAGGTAAATTATAGGGGATCCTACCATTAATCCATATTCCAACTTTCTGGACTTCCCCGTAAGGGATTAGGGTTTAGGGATCAGGATTTAGGGATTAGGCTTTGGGGTAGCTCCAGGGCTTCGGGCTTGCCTGTAGCCGAAAAGACCCAGCCTTGTCCTTTTTCATGGTTCCCCCAAAAGAATAAACAGACCGGCTAGTAGACCTTCTTAAATAATTCCTACTAAGGGATATAGGTATAGGGCTCTGTCTATTATTTGAAAAAGGACAAGGGTGAAAAGACCTGCCTTTTCAAGGAACCATATATATAGAGATCTTAAGAAGGAATCCAAAACTTCAGGTTCTTTTCGGCTGCAGGTGGGGTTTAGGGAGTGGGGATTAGGGTTTAGGGATTAGGATTTAGAGTTTAAGGTTTAGGGTTTGGAGTTTAGAGTTTAGGGTTTACAGTTTAGGGTTTTATGGTTTAGGCTTTTGGGTCTAGGGTTTAGGGTAAGGAGCTATATATAGAGACCATAAGAAGGAACCCTAAAAAGGTAGGTCTTTTCGGCTGCAGGTAGGGTTTAGGGAGTGGGGATTAGGGTTTAGGGAGTAGGATTTAGGATTTAGGTTTAGAGTGTGGGGTCCAGGGATTAGGAATTAGGGTTTGGGGTTGAGAGATTTATGGTTTAGGGTTCTAGGGTTTGGGGTTAGGGGTTTAGGGTTCACCTGGGCCTCAAGAGACCCACTGTGTTAGGGTTCCTTATTGTGGTTTCCTTCTATAGTGCCTTCAAAAGATAGGTAGTTTTTTTGGGGGGATAGTTTCGGGCTTCGGGCGGCATAGTTTTTGAGGGTTTAAGCGTTCGTGCCCGTTGCTGAGCCTTAAACCTAAACCCTATTCATATGGACTCTAGACCCTGGGCCCTGAACCCCACAGGGATCTCAATGTCCGCACCCGACCGATGCTGCGGTAGGGTTCTCGTATATAACACCCGTAAGCAGTCACAACTTTACAAATATTCACTTGCAACTACAAATAATGGACTGCCCAGATTGCGTACTAAGTCCAATGATCCTCCAAATATACATAGGATAGCTCCGGTCGTGTGACAGTGTTTTGCATCGATTGGCCCGTCGCCGTTGAGCTCTGCGTCAGGTAGAGTTTGCGGTTTGCCGCGGACAGCGGACAAATGAAGCGTGGCCATAAAACGAAAAAGGTACCCGTAACCTGAACTCCTACACAATGGTATGTGTTGATCCTTACCACAGTCATTCGACGGTCTACCCGCTGTAACCAGGTAGCTTTCACATCCACTGGCAGAGTCCCATCATGAAGTTCGTAATTCATGGTTTTGAATTGACACACGAAACTTGCTACTGAATTCGAGATGCGACTCTACCTGCTTAAGTAGTATTCCTTAACCTGACACCTTTCAATCACTGCACATGGATTTCGTTTTGATTCAAGGTGGATGCCTTCATAAAGGAGCCCAAAACCCAAAACCCTAAACCCTAAACCCTAAACCTTAAACCCTAAACCCTAAACCCTAAACCCCTAAACCCTAAAAGGAGCTTAAGCGGCCACTGTTCAGTCACAGAACCTCCGCCGCCCACATGGACATTTCCAGCAGTGAGGGCATGAGCCCCGCACCGGAAAATGTACCATGGCCAAGCGCCTGGCCGTGTTTAAGTTTTTTATGTTTAGGGTCTAGGGCTTAGATTCTAGGGTTTAGGGTTTAGGGGTGAGGGTTTAAGGTTTAGGGATTAGGCTTTAGGCTTGAGGGGTTTGAGTTCAGGGTTTAGGGTTTACAATGATAGTATAGGGCCAAGGCTCTTCAGTGGTTTCCTTTAAAGGGTTCCTTTCAAGGGGTCTGCAAGGGCTACTATAAATATATAAGGATTTGGTAAAGCGGTCTTTCGCCTGCGCCGTTGTGTTTTAGGGTTTTTTTTTGAGAGGATGGCAGAACTCAGTTTTAGGGTTTGGGGTTTATTATAGGATCCTTAAGGGAGGGTGGTTCAAGGGGGGAGGGTATAAGGAATCCTTAGGGGACTGTAAGGGAACCTTAGGGAGTACTAGGGAGAATTAGGGATCACTAGGCTATATACCCCCCTTGGACCCCCCTCCCTTAAGGATACTATAAGTTTAGGCTCTTCAGTGCTCATGTAGGGGCATAAATAATTACATATACCATTGCGGGGGTTGATTGCTACAATTTAGTATAATGGGCTCCGAAACCCTATTCTGATTACTAAAGTCCTTATGATAGGCCTGCTTTGTTTTTTTGGGTTTATAGGGCTTAGTAAGGGTTAAGGGCTCGGATTGAGGTGTAGGGCTAGGGTTTAGGCTTCAGGGGTTGCAGATTTTGTTGGCTTTTTTGTTTCTGGGCTCCTACTATACTAGTGGTACACGTTTTTCCTTTCATGTTTCTGGTTCCTGTTGCATAAATGTTATAATAAAGCAGCGAAAATCATGTATTATGCCGGTGGGTGGCTGAACCCTAAACTCCCCTAAACCCTAAGCCTAAGCCCTTAAAACAAAACCCTGAACCAAACCCTAAACTCCCCGAAAACCCCAAGCCTGAGGCCTTAAAGCAAAGCCCCAAACCCAAACTCCTGGTCTCCCTAGACCCTAGAAACTGTGGTTATACATAAGGTAACTATACTTATAGTTCCTTCTAACCCCAATTCAGGCACTTATAACCTTACTTACTAAGTCCCATGATCCTCCAAGTCAACCCCAAACCCTAAACCCTAAACCCTCAACCCAAGTCCTGAGCTCCCAGAGCCCTGAACCCTAAACCCTAAACCCTAAACCCGAAACTCCAGACGTGAAAGGTGCTTTTAAAAGAAAAAGAGAAGCAAGTCCTGAGCTCCCCAACTAGGATCTCCAGTAGTACCCTTACTCCCTTTTTGTAGTCCTAGGTTCCTTATAAAGTTACCCAATACCAAAACGAGAGGCCTTTTTATTCTTAGGTTACTGGGTATCCTAGCCAAGTCCTAAGCTCCTCAAGCCCTAAACCCTGAGAGCTCAAGACTCCTCTAAAGATCCCGTCAAAAAAAGGAAGCCTGAAAGAATCCCTTAGAAGCAGACCCTTAAAGAATCCCTTAAAGGAGCCCTTAAAGAATCCCTTAAAGGAGCCCTTAAAGAATCCCTCAGTGGAACCAAGGAACCGTTAAAGAATCCATTAATTTTAAAAGAGCCCTTGCAGAATCCCTTAAAGGAGCCCTTGCAGAATTTCTTAAAGGAACTTGGTTCCTTAAAGGAGCACCAAGGCCCTAAAAGCCCTAAGCCTTAAACCCTGAAGCCCTAAACCCTAAATCCTAAACCCTCAACCCTAAATCCTAAATCCTAAACCCTAAGCCCTAAACCCCCTAAACCCGCCCTAAACCCTGAAACCCTAAACCCTGAACTCACTCACTCACGCGCGCCAGAGGAACGTCCTGTGCTAACCATGCAAGCGGCCGAAAAGCGACCCTGCTGTAGGGCCGCGGCCAAGAACCTAAACAAAGAGCAGAACTGTACAAAAGCGAGGGGCCGTCATCCGAAGGACGGATAAGACCACATCGCGCGAGAAGGCAAGCCCGGGGCGAAACACCAGAGGCAAGCGCTCAACGGGAGCCAGCCACAGCCGACCAGGGAGCGTCGCGAGGCGTACGGCCAGCGCAGCTCAACCAGGCGGACAACGGCTCAAAAGCAAAGAAGAGCATGATGCATGTCACACTGCCGCCCAGCGGGCCAGACCGCGAGCAGTAGCATGACGAGCATTAGCGGAAACAACTCAGAAAGGGACGAGGCCACGCAAGAGCGTTCAGCGCCACCACCACGCCACCAACAGTTGCAGACAGAAGTTGAAGAAGTGGTGACTTGTCCAGCCTCTGTAAGGAAGAACTTGTCCGAAGCCGTCGAGGCCCTCGAAAGACTCACTGAGAGGCCAGGCCCCGGAAGCGACGAAGCCGGAGGGCGGGCAAGGCCCTTGGCAAAAAGCCCACGTGAAGGAAACCACTCTGTACCAGGTTTGTCGGCCAAACAAATGGCAGCGAAAAACCTAATGCAGGTAAAGCAGGAAAATAATGCGGCACTCCGCCACACGCAGAGGTTACCTGGAACCAGACTGCAGCGGTAAGAGAAGGAAATAAAAATGGTGGCGCACCGCCACACGCAGAGGTTACCTGGAACCAGACTGCAGCGCCCTCGAGCAACCGAAATTGCGAGGAGAGGGCTGGGGTCGGGTATACGAAAAGGCCCTGCTACTCCTAGAGGAGAATGCAGAGCCAATTTCGCTCGAGCCGCGACGCCTTAAACCCTGAACCCTCAATCCTTTTTCCTGACTGCCTCAGCCCAGGATTCCTCCAACCGGCAGCTGCCTCCCGAAGTTCTTCCGAGGAGTCGGTGTCGGAGTTGGAAATCTTGGTTGGGCCAACGAGGAACCTACCAGGAAGGTGCGGTTCAGGGTTTATAGGGCTTGTAGGGTTTATATAGGGTTTATAGGGTTTATAGTGTTTATAGGGTTTGTCGGGTTTATAGGGTTTGTAGGGTTTACAGGTTTGTGCGGTTTATAGGGTTTGTAGGGCTCATAGGGTTTAGGGTTTAGGGAGTTTAGGATTTGGGTTTAGGGTTTGGGGTTTAGGGCTTAGGGTGTCCGAAAGCCTGAAGCCTAGTGTCCACCTTTAAACCCCGAAAGCCCTCGGCTTGCACGTTGCTTTGAGGTTTAGGATTCTAGGGTCTAGCAAAAGGTCCGAGGTTACAGCAATCTCGCTTTTCGGTTCATGCACGTCTGTAGCATAGCACAGGAACTTTCCTCTAGCGAGTGAGTGAGTGAGTGGTCTAGCAAAAACCCAGAACCTCGAACCTAAACCCTCAACCTAACCCCTGAACCCCAGATCCGAAACCCTACA